GATTCTACATTATTAAATTTTAATACTGTGAAAGGCTCTTAATTCTATAACTAGGAAAGAATGTGAATAAATCCTCAGAAACACAAACAGTATTTATAAAGGCTTGCAAGTTCTGGGGATATGCTTGGGTTGCTGAACAAAACAGCATAATAAGCCCATTATCTCCAAGAATGGTCTAAAATGGTGTTTTTCAAACTTTTTTTATTGTGACCTGTTATAAGAATTACACTTTGATTCATGACTCAATGACAAACACATAATTATTATACACACTCTCACATTGGAAAGAATTTCATGAAAACAACCTATCTTTACTATTTGCTATACATTCTAATTTTTCCATTAACTTCTAGTTCATTTACTCAGAAATATTAGTCTAATCTTACTAAACTGATTTTATAGCACACTAGTGGGTCCTGAAATCTGCAGTTTGAGAAGCACTGGTTTAAAACACTTTTCTATTTTAGAACTTCATACAATTGTGTGAAATAACCTAAAGCCAGGAGTTTATCTGTTGGTAATTATTTACATCCATCTAGTTTGCTTTCTGTCTGATGGACCATAGATGATTATTTTATAGCTATTTTAAGACATTCTGGTAAAATTGGGATTTACCTTTGGGAGTTCATTCATTAATTCATTGAACAGATATTTGAATGACTATGTCAAGCAATGTCCCATCATCTTTCTCCCTCTTAATTGTTCCATATATTAACATTTAATTCAAATTAATTTTTGATAAAAAACAGCAATATTATGTCTTTAAAAGTTGCTTTTAACCTATTTTTCTGGTAGACTATAATATGAAAAGCAACAAAAATGAATAACAGGGTACAAGTTAAGCTCTTGCCTTATGAAACAATCCTGCCCACTGATTTAGTTGGGCATGCTTTTATAATTTCTCTATCTTAAAAATAAGCTTAGTGTGATGTTGTATTAATAAATAAGGCAATCAGTACATCATAGTTGCTGTTTCTACTATTAATATTACTGAAAGTTTAGTAGGTGCCAGGCCCTGGGGTGTAGTCTTTTCTTTCTATGAGTTAGCAAGGATATAGAAAAGAATACAGTATGATGCTTGATAAGACTCCCTAGCTTGATAAGAGCCCTCTGGAAGCAATGCTTCACCCAGAATCACAGGGACATCTTTCTGAAGGAGGCCATATCCAAACTGACAGCTGAAGAGAGTAGGACTCACCCTAGAGTGGGTGGGGGTAGGGGAGGGACAGGGACAGGGTCAGGGGATAGTGTTGAGAGGCAAAGGAAGCAGCACAAGCAAAGTCATGGGTGTGGGAGAATGTGGTCAGTAGAGTAAGAGGGATATGGAGAGATCAAGTGGTGCAGGGAGAAGTAGGCTGAGGTCAGGAATTGAAGGGCCCTGCTCAAGAGCCTGCAGGGGTAGGCCTCAGGTTTGCACTTGAAGAAAACCACCTAGAACTGGTGAGAATGGTTTTTGTTGAGATAAAATGAGAAGGAGACCAGCAGAGAGGTTGGTGTAATGCATTATGGGAGAGCTGTGCCAATGCAGACAGAATCTTGGGAAACCCCAGATTTTGGGAACACTGACGAACTGTCACTGTTATTTGCCAAGGGCTTTGTTAAGTATAGTATAACTCTAAACCATATCAGTATAGTGTAAGTTGTAGCAATTGTTAAATTTGCAATAAAAGGAGTGGAGGATGGATGGGCTAAAAAACAAAGAGCACCCATACTTAGCTTATTCCAAAATTCCTTTTATTGCCTGCACAGATTGCCATATATTTTATTCTTTGGTATTCTGTGAGTTAATTCCCTCAAATGATTTACATATGTAAGTAATTTGGCCCTCTAGGAGATTTAGAATCTAGGAATTAGAGTAGAGTAAAACATCTCAAAACAAAACAATCCACAAAACCACATTGCACAGGGAAGGCTGTTTTTATTCTTGATTTTTATAGCTAACCAGGTTAATGAAGAGAACTTCCTGTATTCTCATAATCTTTGAAACTATGCAATGTTGTAAGATGTTGCACTGCTCCTGGTAGATGAGACAGACTAAAGTCATTTATTCATTCAACAAATAATTGAATTCCTCCTAGGTCAGTGATGGCCAACCTATGACACGCATGTCAGAGGTGACACGCGAACTCATTTTTTTGGTTGATTTTTCTTTGTTAAATGGCATTTAAATATATAAAATAAATATCAAAAATATAAATCTTTGTCTTACTATGGTTGCAAATATCAAAAAAATTCTATAGGTGACACGGCACCAGAGTTAAGTTAGGGTTTTTCAAAATGCTGACACGCCGAGCTCAAAAGGTTCGCCATCACTGTACCTAGGTATAAAGTGTAAAGCAATGAACAAAACAGATTGTTCCTGCTATCATGGAACCTACATTCTAAAGGATGGCATGTTGTATTATCTTGATGAAAAATGATAAAAACATATTTTTTATCAAAGCATTTTATTTTTGGCATAAGATGGTAGTGTAGGAAAATTAGGTATCAGGTATCTTTCTGATTTGTTTCCCAGATTATGAGAGACAGTATACTGTTGTGAGGATTACATGAGAGTTAGAATATTACTAATGGTTAGGATATAGTGCTTAATTTATGTTAACTATTATTATTTACATTATATGATAATTATATTGCTAATGTTATTGGCTAATGTAGATTACCTCTAATTTACCTCTTAATTCCCATCTAGAAGCTCCATCTGGTAGCCAGACTATCATCATTGTCTTGCCCAGACTTTAGCAGTAGTCTCCTACCTGGTCTATCTGCATTCTTTCTCTGTCTACTAAATCTATTTTTCACCTTGCAGTCAGAGTAAAATTTATGCTGTTAAATTAGTTTCCTATTGCTTCTGTAAAAAATTTCCATGAACCTAGTGGCTTCAAGCAATAGAAGTTTATCTTACACTTCTGGAGGTCAGAAACCCCACATCATTCCCAGTGGGCTAAAATAAAGATACTGACAGTGCTATGTTTCTTCTGGATGCTCTAGGGATAATCCATTTATTTGGAATTTTCAAGATTCTACTTGTGGTCCTGAATCACTCTGTTATCACACCTCCTTCTTTGGTCGTCCTCTCTCTTTCACGTATAAGGACTCATGAGTATATTGCACCCACCAAGATAGTCGAGGATGAACTTTCCATCTCAAGACCCTTCATACATCTGCATCATTACTTTGGTGTGTAAGGTTACATAGTCACAGGTTTTGGGAGCTAGGGGATGGACATCTTTCGGGGGCCTTTATTCTACCATCATGTCATAGAACAGTGTCTAGAACATTGGTGGAAATAAGTTAGTTAGTTTATTTATTGCATGAATGTCTTATGAATTAAGCTTTCCTATGGGTTCCTAATACTTTTAGGATTAAAGACTTAAACCCCTACCTTTGCCTGGGAGGTCCGCCTGGCCTCCCCAGCCCTGTGCTTTCCTGGGCCTCCATCCACATCAAGCTCTTTCCCCCCCGCTTGCTCATAGAACTCCGTTTCTTCCCAGCTTTTCAGGACCTTGCAGTGGCCTCTGCTTACACCAGCCCTCTCTCCCTCCCTCCAAACCCCATTGCTTGTTTTCCTGCCACTCTCAGCTTGGATGGTAGAGCAAACGCTTCTTAAAGGGGCATCATCTTGAACTTTTCTCTGCTGGTTAAATATTCTACTTGCACACAGTCCTGGAGCCTGGACTGCTCTTTCATAGCACTTGGTCACAACTTGCAATTGTTTATTAGTGTTCTTATGTGTTTCATCTGTAAGCTCTGTGAAGGCAGTGACTATTTCCATTGTATACTCAATGCTGATAATTTATTTGGTGCTCAGTAAATATTTGTTAAGGGAATGGACTTAAAATGAAAAGACAGCGTGCCTGTTGAGTAGCTCTTGGTTCTGTTCATCAGTGTAGTATTCTTGTAGCCCCAGGCAGAATGGAGTTTTGGGTTATGCAAAGGATTTGTTCAATAACAGACAGTAGGAGATTGATAATTATTGAATAAAGCAACCCAATGTTGTTCATTCATTTTTTTTCAATGAAGTGGAGAGTTAATTTCACTACTTAGTACTTTTAAGACCCCTCTTCCATCTCTTTAAAACTATGTTTGACTTAAACATATAGAATCTCATAGACTTAGGATTCCATTAAATTTTAAAGTGGACTTCATTCAGAGTTGATGTCATGGTTCAGAGGGCATTTTCCTGGGCTGTGGAACACCACTGTTAGCACTGGTGTTCAAGAGAAGTCTGCCAAACTTCTTTAACACAGCCATCACTCAATGTGTGTCAGTGGCTCTCTTTTAAGAAAATGTTTTACAACAGGAAAAAAAAAAGTTTTATATTTTATATCTAACTCAACAGATTAATTTCTTTTTTCAATTTTATATTTTACTAAATTATGAGTTTTTCCCATTTTATTCAAGCTGGATTTATATTTATATTAATTTAATTATTATAGTTTCCCCATTTAAGCTACAGTATTTCACCCTGATGTCGGCAAAGTTTGAGTTAGTTATCCAGCTTTGTTGTCAGTTCAGTAAACTTTCTAGAAGAAAGAGACAGAGCTTTTGGAATTTAAAAGTGCTTTGAAGGGTTCCTATTCTATGAGGAAAAAAATTATTTGGAGAAAATCAGTTTAAAAGCATATTCTTGTTACATTCTTTTTTCTCTACTGATTGATATTGTAATTATTTAAATTTAACTTTTAAGACAGAAATCTATACTATATATCTATATATCATATCTATCTATTTTCACTCTATAGATAATTTCGCACTATATATTGTGAAATACTTTGTTTATATCTGTTTCTATATAGTGTGACATAGTCACTGATGTTTTATTTTTTAATCTCTTTACTAAACTTGATAAAAATTCATAAAACTGATTAACTTTCAGTTCTTAATCTTTCTATGAAGATATACTAGTACTTACTAGAATTAATTTTCTATTATTAGCTTAACTTTAGTTGTTGCATCCAAATCAATCTATATAAAATGTGTATGTACTTTCCTTTTAGAGTATGTTGGATAAAGGACATTGTTGTGTCAGTAACTAGAGAGAACATGGAAGCAATGAAGGGTATTATTCAGAAGTACCAGCATAAGCGCATCTCACTGGTTGAAGCTGGAGTGACCCGCCACAGGTCAATATTCAATGGACTAAAAGCTCTGGCTGAGGATCAGCCAGACTCCAAGCTCTCGAAGCCAGAAGTAGTGATTATCCATGATGCTGTGAGACCTTTTGTGGAGGAAGATATTCTCCTTAAAGTGGCCACAGCTGCTAAGGAACATGGGGTAAGTATTTATACTTATGTGAATGGATAAAAGAGGCAAACACTATATAGAGTGGTTCATTTGCTGAGTTTTGATGGAATTACTAGTGGCCCGGTGCAAGGAATTCATGCACATTAAAAGGGAATTAATTAGAGGAAGTTATATCATATCTTTGTTGTTGTTGATGTAACAAAACAACAAAGATATGATATAAAAACAACAAAAACATGATGTAAAAACAACACTGATGCAAACAGTCATTTGTGAAAAAGACAGGAGGTTACCAATCATTTGTGAAAAAGCCAAGAGGCTCCCTCCCTCCTGTCAGGGTCCGGGGTATAGGGGAATGGGATTCCTGGCTGGCAGGCCGCTGAAAGCAAGCTGACCAATGGCTGATTATGCGAGGAATGGGGCTTCCTCCTCCCTCCTGTCAGGGTCTGGTTTGAAGGCCAGCCATGCCCCCAATCGTGAGAGACCTAGAGTTCCGCTTCGCCCCGGCCAGGGCCAGGAGGGAGCTCCCTCCAAAAGGCATCCTGCTGTTCGGTCGTCCGTCCAGTCATTTATGTCATAATGGCTCCTGGCTTTTTATATATTAGGATATTTAAATGTGAAATTATTAAAATGGGCATGATGATCTGAAGAGGTTAGGGTAATTTGTTTTAGGAATTTTGTAGATTGTGAGATTGTTCTGGAATTTATCTTTGCTATAGTCATTTATCCTCATAATGTAATATGAGCTATTTGGAGAAGAATGTAGTAATAATGTCATCAGAGTAGGGAAAATGTCTAAGAAGTCAGTCAAAATTCCAATATGTATGATGAATGTGTGTGTATATATTCTAAATGTCCTTGAAATGGTTAGGATAGTGATCCAATAGCTTCAGAAAATCCAGGTACTACTTCCTGCCAACCCTCATATTGTTCTAATCATAAAAAAACAAATTCAATTAATAGAAACTTATCCTAGTAATTGAAGTTCTTATGTTTGTGGGAAGAATTGGCATCTTTTATAACCACGGGCCAATAAATTGCAAAATATTGGCCTGAATCAAATATACTATCTAAGGCAAGAAAAGAGTGTGACTGTTTAGTCAAAGACACTTTACAATTTCTTTTCCATGAATTCCTTGTCCTTTGTTCTCATAAATTGTGTTCTATAGACTCTGAAGAAAAGATTTTCTTCTTTTCTTAGCCCCAAATTTTCAAGCTCTACCAAAGGTCCTATTTAGATAAATCATTTTCTAAGCAAGCTACACAGTATGACAGCCCCTAAGGTGGTATACATGCTAAAGATAACTATGATTTTTTTAACTTATATTACATTTTGGACAAAACAAGACAAATTAATGTAGATGTATTAATTACCTCAAGGGACTAAGATGTCCAATATTAAGGCTAACATTAGAGTTGCCTGCATACAGGAACTCAAAAGTATCACAAGGACACAATTTTGCTCTCTTCATTGTGTATGCACCATTCCTGGGTCCCACAGATTTGACAGGACCTCAGTAGGACCAGCAGTGAAATTCTTTTAGTGCTTGTTCATCCTTACTCTTGATGATAGTTTGTCTGGGTATACAAATTCTAAGGCTTCAGCTTTTAACTCCCAATACTTTGAAAACATAGGATATAATTGTTTCCTGGCTTTTATCCAGCTTTTGGAAGTTGGCAAACTATGAAAAGACATGTATTTTGTGTGCTTTTACTTTTCCTCCCTTTCTCTGACAGTAGGCCTCAACATGTCTTCTCCTGAAATCCCTGTGCTCCTGGTCTCCCCATCCCAACATCTCTCCAAGGTTTTGTTATGTTACAGTTTAGACACTATCTTGCTTGCCACAACTTTGCAGACCTACCCATGGATATTGTATTTACCTAAGAGTTCTAATTGCCTAGGACCTTTTGAGCACTGGTTTATGGTACATTTTACTGAATTCTCATAAGACCAGGTCCCCTTGAATTGGGTTGCTTTCTTTTCTTTTTTTTTTTTTAAATATATTTTATTGATTTTTTTACGGAGAGGAAGGGAGAGAGACAGAGAGTTAGAAACATCGATGGGAGAGAAACATCGATCAGCCGCCTCCTGCACATCTCCCACTGGGGATGTGCCCGCAGCCCAGGTACATGCCCCCGACCGGAATCGAACCTGGGACCCCTCAGTCCGCAGGCCGACGCTCTATCCACTGAGCCAAACCGGTTTCGGCTGGGTTGCTTTCTAATATTTAAAACGAGGGATTTTTGCATCTGATAGCAGGCTCCACACTGTAATTTCTTTCTATATTTGAATATTGATGTGATTTCTTTCTATAATTGAACACTGATGAGGGTCTCTCAAGCTTGGCATGACTAACATTTTGGGTAACATAACTCTTTGTTGTGGGGGCTGTCCTGCACTGTAGGATGGTTAGCAGTATCCCTATTTACATCCCCAGCCTCTACACCAGTTATATGGTGGATAATAAAGTTACAGGGTTAGAGCATAATTAACCATAATATTACACATGATTTTGTCCTTCTCCCCCCCCCCTTTTATTGATGTATAATGAACATACAGCACTAAATAAGTTTAAGGTATACAGCATAACGTCTTGACTTAACATAGATTGTGATCACCACTTTATTACTTTTCTTAAGGTAAATAGTTGTCTCTGTAATTTAGTGAGCAATTGGGTATGATGTCAGTTTAAAAATGGCTCTGGATATTTTGTTTCTTGAACAGTTAAAGAAGTTTAGTAGTGGTAGAATCTTACAGAGGGCTTAAAATCAAAGGTTTATGTAGACCTCCTTTCTCGTATAGGAAGAATATGCATTTCTTCATTAAACATTAACTAGTTTTTACTTAGAAAGTCTTTTGAGTCATCTTCTAAAGAGAAACTGAATTGCATATTATAACCAGAAACATTGACATGTGGTGTGTGGGTATGTTTGTATGTGATCTGTTTGGATATTGCAGCATGACTGTATTTATCAATGATTGATAGCACTTTGGAAATTCTATTAAGTTTCATATGTGTGCATCACGAAGAATGTACTTTCCCACCACTCAATTTTACAACTTTGTGCAGTATATTCTGGGCATGTTCTAAAATAGAGATGGAAAATTACTTGGTGGACATTTGACATTGGGATGAGGTGACCAAGGCTAACGGTCACTTGTTCTGAACTCTGTTGGATGGTTTTTATCATGAGAAAGTGCACTGAAGGGCAGAGTTTAGTCCTGGGTGGGGTTCAGGTAATGAGCTCCCCTGGGTCATTGGATCTTGTGTCATTATCTATTGGAGAGACACTTTGGTGTTGATTTAAGTCCTAGCTGTAATGAATCACTTTTATTTGTGAGTAGGCAGTGAGTTCTGATTTAGTGGTAAATTTTAGACCTACTTTGATAAAGATTTAAATGCCATGGAATGAGTGAAACTTGATTTGTTTCTGATGCTGGAGAAGATACTGTGTGAAAAAGCTTTTGTTTTACTGCATTACTTGAAATTACCAACCTCTATATATCTGTTCAATGAATTACTTAAAATGAAGTTGGAGAAGGGGTAGATCAAGGCAAGATGAGTATATGTAGGGATTAAAATGAAATAAAGCTTATTACATACATATCCAAGTGTGACATACCTGGTCATATTAGATTTAAGGTAAATGTTACTAGCTTAGCTTCCAAGAATTAAAATTCAGTAGTATATAAAAGGAGAACTCCTTATTCCTTTCTGCTATGTATTTAATTTTATGGGTATTTTGCAGTGATATAGTAACTTGGACAGAGGTTTTTCTAAAATACCTATTTTCTATATTGAATAAATAATAGATTCTTTTACTTTGTCAAAAAGGAGGTGGGAAGTATTCTATTAGAAAATATCCAAAATCTTATAATTGCTAATGATTAGCTTTGAAGATCTTATTCTGTAAATATTTATTAAGTAGTGTTTCAATAAAGACAAATCAGCTAACTGAAATTGTAGTTACAAGGTTGGAGGATTTCTGATATACATTGTCGTAATTAGCTTGAATGCAGATGCCTGAGGAGTAATGCCTGTTAGCACCTGCTGTGTGGATGGGTGATTAGCATTGTTCAATTTTCTTTAAAAGGTGAACAGTAGAGGTGGGGTTCATTATTTCCACATTGTATGATTTATATCTATGCTGATTTCCATGCATTGACATGTGGAAATACTTTGATAGATTAGCCTGAGAGTCAAGTAATCACTGTGGTGCTGAGCTGTTAAGCTTCCATTCAGGCTTATTATACTAATTCCCAAGGAGACAGTGTATTTGATCACTTGGGAATCATACTTCAGGCTTCCCAGATCGCTGCATTTGGGAGGCAACCATCTTTGTCCAAACTTGTGTCATAATTTGATGCTTTGAATTTCAGAAAAAATCATATAACTGAGGATTCATTGCATGTTTATTTCTGAACAAATGTCCCTTACTAGGGAACTAGATATAGAATACATGTCTATTAGCATTAGCATCTTTCTTCTATACTGTTTATACCAGATAGCTGGAATAGTAGTCAGAGAAAAGAAAGGTCAACAAAGGAGTTATTTTCACTTGTGGCCCTTTTTCTGGGCCTTTTGTTTAGTAAGACCCTGGAAGCTGGTAATTGCCTGTGTTTTCGATTGTCTTCATATTGTACTACTTTCTAAATGATAGTTTGGATTCCATAGGTAAGAACTTAGTAACTCGGAATTCACCCATTCTGCCATGACATCTCAAATATGTATGATTTCTGGTCTCAAGAAGTTAGTATTTAATAATAAAAAATGAGAGTCCATAAATACACATTTTAGAAATTTTCTTTTAAAAAATACTGAAAACATACAGAAAACTTTGGACACCTTCAGATCTGTCACTTGGTATAATGAATCAAACTTTAGTAGTCAGTTTGAAACTGTGTCCTTGCCCTGATCTTATTTACTCCTCCCAAACGGGTAACACTACCTTGAACTTTGTTTTTATTGCTCTCTTGCTTTTTTCTTCAGTTTTGTACATGTATCCCTAAAGAACATTTGTTATGTTTGTATGATTTGTTTTTATATATATTTTTGAGGTATAATTGACATATAATTAACATATATTTGTATGATATTCTAAATCTTATGTTTTGCATATATCTTGACAGCTTTTTTTTGTACAACATATTTTGGGAACCGTATGCATGTGAATCTGCAGCTATAGTTCATTCATGATCACTGCTTTATGTATAGCAATAACTATAGAAAAGAAAAAAATTTCTGTTTCATTGCATCTCAATATTTTGAAAAGCTGGCTATTTTGAATCATGTATTTTTTAAGTTTTAGATATGGATCCTCTTCTTCCCACATCCCTAGGAGCTGTTGTTTGCTTATTTGTTTGCAACTTTGCTGGTCTATTCTAGTGAAGTCTTTTCCTCTACAGGGTGAAGTCTCTGGTGTCACTTTTCAGAGGGTACCGTCTTGGGCATGTGATCTTTGCAGGGTTCTCTTTGAGTGTCTTCCCTGATCTCTGTTATACTGACTGCCACTGTTGACATCACCCCTAATTGAGAAGCTTCATTTATTGCCAACACATTACTCTTTTTTGGGGGGGCGGGCAGAGGACAGTGCTCTGAGCATAAATTGCTCTACAGCCTGATCCATTAAGTTCTGGCCCCTTGGCAGGGCTGGTATTTGAGAACAGTGTTGGAGGTGTGTTCTTATCCCAGGGAGGCTCTTGTTGTCTCTTTCCCTGGTGTTCTCTGGTTAACGAGCCGGCCTGCAGTTTAGCCTTTTGGTCTCCTGTATCTACTGGCCTCCTCTTAATTACATATCATGACAATCTCATTTCATTTGGGAGTGTCCTTGGGCTTAAACTTCCAAATAAAGTGATTTCCCTTGGGCGAAAGCTTCATAGCCCTCTGCTCTTTGAGCCTGTCTCTTGCCTTGTGAACAGTCACTGCATCACTACTTTGGAGATGTGGGTGGGCATGATGACTGTTTCTTTCAGACTATACCCCTACTTCATGAGCAGGGTGCTGCATGGGGGCATTAGGAGACTCCCAGAATTTCTTTTTACCTCTTCTGGTATAGAACCTCTGCATTATGTGTGATCTGGGGCAAGAGACATCCAGGCCCCAGTATTCTCTGCCTATCATTTCCGGAGCAGATCCTTACCCTATACGTGGGTGTCTTTAACCTCTTGGCAACACTTGCCTGTTATTTAGCTTCTGTGGGAGACATGGAGCTGAGTAAGATGGGAAATGTTAGCACTCTGCTTCTCCCATTGGGATCTAGGGGGAGAGGGAGCCCCATCTGTTGGCCATACCTATTCTAAGAGGAACTTCAGCCATACTAAACTGGGTGTACAATAAGAGAAGAAATGGATATGACTTGAGCACCACAGGCTCTCTTTACTCTCCCCAAGATTTAGAAGATTTTTTTGAATAAAGTTTCCTAATTTGCTGAATGCCCTTAGGACAATTTTCAATGGCTTTTCCATGTTTTGTTTTCTGAATAATTTTCACTATTTATAATTTGCTTGGGGGAGAATCTGTGGAGCTTCTCATGTTGACACTTGAATGTCCCATGTTCTCTTTTAAGTAAATTTTTATTTCGTGGCCTGGCATAAAATTAGCTATAAGTACTTGCAATGGAAATTTAATTTTTTTCTTAAAAAGCAGTGTATGTATATACACGTGTGCACATGTGTTTCTTTCCTGTCTTGTCTTCTAACCCCTACTGATAGGTTTGACCAGTTGGGCTTGTTCCTTACTTACCTTACTTACCTTTCACCTACTTGGACATCACTTCCTCCCTGTCACCCTTGGCTGGTCTCCTCATTTTTATGCCGCGGGTCCAAATTTTTACATGCGTCACTGGAAATGGTGACACAGTTTGTAAACTGTCTACATGGCTCACACATTAGCTTTGATTTTTAGCCAATCTCTTGGCATTTGTAAACTAGTTCATAGACTGTCTTTCTTGCTCAGATGTTGGTCTTCAGGCCAAATGTGTTGTATTTGTGCTGTAATCCCCCTGTAGCAATTACGTGAAAGATAGGATATTTTGGATACAATATAAGGAGGTTTGGTTTAATTGCCTACCATAGGAACTGTATTTTAAGGCTACTTCTCCAAGACAGCTGTTTGGTAATGACCTCTAAGTCTATTTTACAAAGACACTGTAGTAAAGCTAAAGGCAAAAATTGTCAGATATGAAGGTGTGTTTTTTAATAAAATTTAGATACCTCTATTAATGAAACAGAGCTTTTATCAGAGCAATTGATATTAATGGATATTTTGCCTGAGGGAGCATTCCACTAATGCTATGTTTGAAGAGAACTGTTTTTCACAGGAATTAGAGCAAAACATAAATTCATTGTTACGTGGGTTGTTGAGTGTCATTTTGGGGATCTTAGGGAATATGTCTGTTTCCTTAATTTTCTAATGTGTAAGTTAAATCTTTTGAAAGCATACTAATTAGTAATTCATGTATAATTCATTTCAGTTCTTTCATATAGTGTTTCTCTTTCTTCCATCTTTAGGGAATACCCAATTATATCATTGCATCCATTTTTAGTATTTGACTTCAATGGCCTGTATAAAAAGGATTTTAAACCTATGATGAAGAAAATTTTCTACCTCTTATATATGGAACTGAAATATTATGAAATTGGTTCTTGGTGTGACATGATTTGATTTATGAACCAAATGAATATTTGTTCAGATATTTTCTTGAGGTAGTTTGTTGAACATATGAATAACATCTGCTTTCAAAAATAAGATACAGAGTTTAGAATTTGACTTCAAAATATTTTCTAGGTGAAACAATGCCTTGTTTGCCTCTGTTTGTTATTTAGGCAGCAGGAGCAATTCGCCCTCTTGTATCCACCGTCATCAGTCCATCTGCCGATGGTTGCTTAGACCACTCCCTGGAACGTGCCAGACACAGAGCAAGTGAAATGCCACAGGCTTTTCTATATGATGTGATCTATGCAGCATATCAGCAGGTAAGAATTCTGGCTTTTTTAGAAAGCTTCTGTGTTGCGGGTCCCTAAGACCACCTCTATATTTGGAGATTTTCTAGAACTTGTGGGTCTCAGTCTATAGTTGTACTCATGGCTTAAGTTGATTACAGTGAAGTAGTGAGGATGCACAGCTGGATCCTGTGAGAAAGAGACATAGGCAGATTCTGGAAGAATCCATGTGCAGGATTCCTTATATTCTCTCCCTCCACTGAAGGGTAGCACAAACACCACCTATCCTCCCACCCCCCTCCCCAGCAAAAAAAATGAACATGTGTATGTTGTTTCTCTCTAGGGAAGCCCTTTGTAGACTTGGTGTCCAAGGTATTTGTTGGGATTGGTCATGTAGACATCCTGCCTACCACATAAAAATAAAATCCAGATTCTCAGAGGAAAGCAGGTGTTTAACATAAACCATACTGTTTATGCAAACACTCTGGGCACAGAGAGTCACCCTTATCAGTTAACTCTTCACTGGGAATAGTCCAAGAACCAGTTTCCCGTGTGCTGGCTGAGGGCCCACCTAGTTAGCAGGTGTTTCTAAGGACAGCAATCTCAGGCTTTTTGTGATAAATTTGCTGCACAGCTGTGTAGACATTTTGTTAATTACATTTTAAAGGGTAAGTTCTTTGAAAACCTACCCTTTTTATTCATGTTGCGATTATAATAGATTACCTTTGTTTTTCATGTTTTGGAAACATTTTTGTACCTATGTAAATTTTACTGCCATACAGTTATTGAGTAGCAGGTATTATTCTTGTCCAAAACTTCCCAATGAAATATAAGTTAGAGAGACTAACCCAGTGCTTGGTCAATGTTAGACAATCAGATAATAGTAATATGAATATTGACATTTATAATAGAAAAATACCACGTATTTTTGATAGAGGGTAGTTAATCACACACATACATTAAATTATCACTCAATCTTGACTACCTGTTACTGTTTTAAAATGAGATTATGTAAATTAGAATCCATCTTAATGATATGAATAGTCAGCCATGGTTTATATTGTTTTCTTAAAATATTGAATATGAAGCATAGGAATTTGCCTGTATTTCATCATTAATTCTATAAATATTATGCTACTATAAATTTCTTTGGCTTTTTTATCCAAATATTCTATTTTATAGCCTAAATATTGCTGGGCTAGACTATATCTGCCATATTTCTTTAAATTAATGAAATAATTTGTTATTAAGATATGATAGCTATAGCTTAGATAAAAATTTGAATATTATTTCACAATCCTCACATTAAAGTATCATTTTTAGCAGTTTTTTTCTGGAGAATTAAGCCCTGATGCAGCTGGAGCTCCAATAAAAGTTTCCTCCTTTCTGGAACTTGACTCCCTTCTTATCTTGTTACATATTCCTTAGATATTAGGTAAGTGTTCACTTTCCTGCCCTTTGGTCCCCTCCCCAGTCTAGGTTAGGTCAGTGCCCTGTTTTTTTTCTGCCCAGCATCAAAATTATAATTAATTACTTGGGAAGCCATTTATAAAATATCTGATTATACTACTAGACTCGGAGCCTTGCAATGGTAAGTGTCTGTAAGAACAAGAGAAGACAAATGATGAGGCAAACAGAGGATACAGAATCAGACTGTGAAGAGGATAGCAAAAACAATAGGGTTGTTACTTTCTTCTAGTGGTTTGTCCCGAGTTCATGTTATTGAATGGAAAATAAAGATCCTGGGAAACATTTTTTTCAGTCTGGTAGATTACTGGAAATCTCTTCTGTGTTTGTGCTTTTCTGGTGGGAAAGTTCAAGGTGGGGAATGGAATGTGTGGGAAGAGGCATACAATGGAAACACTTATTCTGTCATGGACAGGAGGGCCTCTTGGAGTTGTCAAGGGCTTTTTGTTTTATGTTCTAAAACCCCGATCTCTTTGTTACAGACTTTGGCAAGAAAATCTGCTTTTAAAAAATAAACAGAAATGAACTGAGCGACATAGTATTTATCTCCTCTTGATTTTTTTTTTACTGTAGGACTTTGCATGTCAAACTAGGTACTGACTTCTGGAGGGCAGTCAGGAGAGGGCAGGAGCTACAAGGACGTTGAGAAGTTACACAGATGGACACTGAAGACATACATAAGTGACCATCAGTTTCTAGGCTTTGTATGAGGCAAATGCTGACAGACACTAGTACCCAGGCAGTTCTAATTCATCCTCCTCCCAGGATGACAGAGCTGTCAATTACCAAGCAATTCCATGGTCACATGGTCTCTGTGTGCCTAGCAAAGAGATGCCATTATTTAGATCAAAGAAATAGGTTCAAAATGAAAACCTTTCCGGTTCACTTGAATGCTAAAGGAAATCCCACGAGGTATGGGTTCATCCAGAATCAGATGATAAAATAAATGTTGATCACACTTTGTCATTTGACCTTTTATGTTAATTTGTATATGCAGTAGCATCTGGGTGGTAGCTTTAGCAGTTCATGGCCAAAACAAAATGGATTTCCTGGGCAGAGCTAAGAACTTCAACTCTTATTTGATACTCTTTTACTTTAGAAAAATTGCAGAATGATGGGCAGAGTATAGTGAGATACTTTGAGGATATACCTTATCATGAAGGAATATGAATTTTAAAGTTTATATAACTTTATTTTTACCTTTTTTGCAAACTGTCTGTTGTGTTAAGCAGATGAGATAATGAAAGTTTTTCTGTGTATATCTGAATTATGTGCTATTCATCTGTGGTAGGTGTCGCTGTGTCAGTTTGGTTAAATCGGGAACTATTTCTCTTGGTTAGATTGTCCAAAAGAGCCGTACATCTGAAATTTGGAAGGCTGAAGTAAGCAGAATCCATTTCTCTTTTCTTTTTACTGTCACAGGAATGCCTGGTGGGTTGCAGCCTGTCCTTGCCATCTCATGTTCCTGAATACTAGGACCATTATCACTAGCTCCAGTTTATTACTGGATACTTGGCCGAGACAGTAGCTACACAGAAATAACTGTTCTCGTGGCTTTCCCCTGAAGGTCTCCTTTTAATGGCTGGATGTGCTTACCTAGTCAGGTTGACTAGTCAAGGATGTCTACTCTGATCCTTCAACTTGCCTTTCCAGTCTTCACTTCTCCAGTGACACAACTGTGTACAGTGGCCCTGCTCCCCAGGCTGATACATCATCTAATTCATCCAGAGAGTTGTGTCCATACTATGTCCACTAACATGTACAAACCACTCTGACTGTTGTTGTTTTTTTTACCATCATTTTGGGTGTTGTACAAAGTATTGCCGAAAGAACCAGAAGCAAAATTTTGCTGGCAGGGTTTACTTTTATTGGTCTGTTGCCTAAAATATTGAAAAAATCAAATATAATGACATAAAAGTTATTAAATACTAATATTAAAGCTGGCATGTTTAGGAACCACCTTTCTTGTAGAGAATAATGAGATCTGAAATCTTTCTCTGGGATCCAACCCTTCTAACTACGTGCCTTTCAACATGTACTAAACATTATGGACCTTTAACAAATAAAAATTTAATCATTTCCCTACACGAGATTTCAAAGTTTGTCATTATTTTATGGCCATTATTATTTGTGGGCATTGATATTCTGAGCAAGAGTTTGCTATTTCAGAATATGATCTAGAGATGGAATTTAGCATTATCTGGTCAGTTAAAGAGATATTTTCATATGCTTTTGAATAAACCAAATTTTTTCTAAATTTTTTTTAGGACTAGTGGAAATCAGTTTTTTCACTGAGAGTATTTTGGACAAAGACTTACTGTTAGTGAAATTTATATGCACCACTGAATGCCAAGGTGGACATGCACTTCATAAACCTCACAGTAGGTAGTCTGAAACATAAAATAGAGGTACTAGTTCCCTGCTTACAGCACAGCAGGTCCTCAAATAACATCATTTCATTCAACATCATTTTGTTACAGCATTGATGTGATGCTGTGGAACTTAATTCTTTTTTATATCAATTATCCCATGGCAATGATTTTCAACTGGTATGCTGCAAGAATTCTTAAAAGATGCAATTTAGTTAGGGGCACTGACCTCTTTTCCCTTATATTGTAAATTAAAAAAAAAATGACAGCAGCCTACACAACAACCGCATCCTGTGTGAATGAATCAAAATTATACCTATTTTTTTGTCAGATCAACAAAAATATATGTTTTGGTATGCCACAGAATTTTAATAATTCATTTATGTGTGCCATTAGATGAAAAAGGCTGAAAATATCTGGCCTCTGGTAAAATTGGTTTCATTATACATTGTTTTGCCACAGTTCCAAGAACTATGACAACATTAAGTGAGGACTTACTGTATTTTCTAGATTCTATGTCAAATCATTATCCAGGGCTCTGGCTCCTAGTAATGACAGAATAGCTTGAACAGCCAACTTTCCAGTTATAAAAATTATAAACCGATACCTATCTGTCTCTATTGAGCGAGACTGAGACAGGTATACAGAGAGAGATATGAGATGTATATATGTATAGTATATATTTGCATTTGTATGATGGCAGTAAAGAGTGACCAAAAATAGGGAAAAAAATCAGAAGGGATTAACTGTTCAAGGAAAGGAGTCACACTGGGTAAGGTCCACATTTATACAGTGTGGTTCTCGGCTCTAAATCCACTATTCACTATGCCTTGCTGCACCCATTGGACATCTTTCCTTTGCCAAGAGGTTTTAAGCTTCATCAGTAGAGGATGCTCCAGGGGCACTGCCAAGAGAAGGGGCTTTCCTCCTGATTTTATTCCTGCTGCCACAGCTGCCACGGGCATGTATCTGTGGCACTGAGTGCCCTTCACTCTTTAGCAGGTGTGTGATGCCAGTTCTGGCCTGCCATTCTCTGCCTGCTGGCTTCTGCCTGCTGACACGGTGGAGGTTTGCCCATTTGCCAGTCCTGAACTGCAGCTCCATGCCTGCCAGCCTTGGTTTCTTGGCATTCCAGTGACAGGCTGCCAGCTTGTCAGTCCCTCTCTGCAACCTCCTGTTCATCAGCCTCAGGCTCTG